ATAAATCATAAAACTCACTTATACAGATTGTAAACAATAAAAATATAGTTCATGTTATTATACGGATGTCTCTAGAATATTGTTGTTTTTTCCCCACTAATATTTAACCATTGACAATAGCCATTCAACATTACAGTATAATTGAGAGCTATCAGTTTTTAACATTTATTAGACTTAAAAAAAGCTTCTAATTTAAGTGAACTTCATCTAACAATCTTCATATAAACCAATTATAACAAATTTCATATATACCTGTGCCCTTCAGAAAGTAAGAAATATACAGAAACGGAATAAAGTTATCAAACACCAAATTCTCAATAAAATAGATGAATCCTTAAAGGGTTAGTTCACCCAAAAATTAAAATTAGGCTGTGTTTTACTCACCCACGAGGCATCCTAGGTGTATATGACTTTCTTCTTTCAGACGAATCCAGTCGGAGTTATATTAAAAATTGTCCTGGCTATTCCAAGCTCTATCGTTGCAGTCAGCAGGTGTTGCAGTGCTTCAGTCCAAAAGAAGTGAAATAAAAAGCACCCATCCATAAAAATAAGTGCCTCACACGGCTCCGGGTTGTACACGGAAGCAGCTCCGGGCGGATGACGTATGAGGTTGGCTTTGCACATGCGCCGTTCAGAAGTAACGCAGCGGAGAGATCAAAACAAAACAACGGTCACTAATTAGAAGTACAAAACAAGGATTTGTAAATAAGAATGTCAGAGGATTTCGATGTAAGCCAAGAGGAGACTGGTAAGGAGTATAAGCCTTTGGTATAAGCCTTTGCTAAAGTAAGGAAATTTTGCTTCCTTTGATCCTGTAAACAAAACGTTGGTTTTCACGAGACTCACCGGCGCATGTGCAACGCTGACCTCATACGTCATCAGACCGGAACTGCTTCCATGTACAACTGTTGGCGCAAGCTAGATTCAAGTGATTATTACGTTTTGAATATGGATATTTTTCTTACAAAAACGCATCGATTCGCTACAGGAGGCCTTTGTTCACCCCCCCGGAGCTGTGTGAGACACTTTTTTTTAATGGATGGGCTCTTTTTATTTCACTTCTTTTGGACTGAAGCACTGCAACACCCACTGACTGCAATGATAGAGCTTGGAATAGCCAGGACAATTTTTAATATAACTCCGACTGGATTCGTCTGAAAGAAGAAAGTCATATACATCTACGATGCCTCGTGGGTGAGTAAAACACAGCCTAATTTACACTTTTGGGTGAACTAACCCTTTAAAGCTTCAAAAGTTATTAATTTTTTTTTTTTTTAGTTCTTTGAATAACAGACATCTCCGCAGCTGAGTTAGGTTATTTGGCTGCTATTACTTTAAGAGCTGCCGCTGCTGAATGTGACGCAGATCTGACACGCATGCTCGTAGTTTCATTCGCGCTTTAAAACTAAATGATACAGGCTACAGCGTGTGCCACCATATTTGTGTGTGCAATTGAAGAGCACGTGCTCAGAGCACAGTATAATGGCTGATAGGACAAGAAAATCAGTTTTTACTAACATATGGCCTGACAATATCTCATCTGACCACAGTTCACTGTTGTTCTACTAAAGCTGCCTCATCACCTGTTCTGTTTTCTGCGCTCGTTTGACTCAAGCCTGGTGCTGACGTGAAGTTGAAGTGTGCGTTTGAGAAGTCTCACATTTTATGTGGTCGGAAAGACATTCTGCATTTGAATAAACAATTCTTGTCAAGAAAAAAAGAGATATAAGCAGCAGTTATGAGTGGGCTGGCCAACCCTAGCTCTGCCCCTGCGTTAAATATTTTTAATGCTGTCAAAGTGGAAAAATTAATTGCCCGTGTTATCGCGTTAATTTTGACAGGACTAATATAACTATATTCTCTTCTGAGAATTTTTTTAAGGCATTGCTAAGCAGTTGGCAGGGTGTCCTTGATGGTTGTGGTTACTATTCCATTGATAGGGTATTCTGGGCGGTTGCATGTTCTGTGGTGTTGTGGTTGCTAGTACATTTTTGTATTATATTATTTTGCCACTTCGTTCGTGGGTCTGTGACAAGCTGTGCAGGATGAGGTAGATGCTGAAATTTGTACATAATAATAATAATAATAACAATAATTAAGGGGCCAAGCACAACAGAGGTAAAATGAAGAGCTAAGGAACTGTCTTTAAATACTCAATAAAGACCAGGGTTCTCCAACCCTGCTCCTGGAGAGCAACCATCTTGCAAACTGTTGTGGAGGATCCAATAAATGTTGTTCAATCTGCTGGCCAATCCTCACAATGCTGAATAAAACAAGTGAACTTGAAATTCCTCTGAATGATTTGCTTGTAGAATCCTTACAGCGGAGACACCACAAGACCGTCAAAAAGGAGAGTAAATTGGAGTGAAGACAGATCCTTAGCTGTGGAGATGAGTTTCTCCTTCTTCCGGTCTCACTCCTCTCTTTCTGATTCGGTTAATTCGTCAACATGAGCGTGTAAATAACCGATTAATGAAAAGGGTTAAACAATTAATTAGATGTTAAAATCATTAACTTCAAGTGGTCGCATGTATGTGTGTGTGCAATAGTTCTGCTTCGCTTACGTAATCATGACAACCAAAGACCCACTGCAGAGCTGCAGGGGAAAAGGGTGTGCCTTAATTATTTGAGCTTAACTTTTGTGTACCCAATAAGGGGATATTTTGCTTAATGCTTTGTTGAGGAGAAACTTTGTAGCCACCTCCTAAATATATAATGGAATGCTTGTATTAGAATTGTTGTCGCACCTCGGGTGAAGACTTTACTCGCTGTTACTTTTGATGTATTACTTATGAGTTTTTGTTTTTAATAAAGCGAAACCATTCAAATGGTGATGCGTTTAAACCTCTCTTAAAACAAGTCTCGGAGTGATTTATTATTAGTAATCTATTATATGAACCTGAAAAGTACTTCTGTCGAGCTCCAATCAGCCTGGACCTGACTGAGTTAGGACGGACACCGTTGTAGGGATATCTGAAGCCACTGACGACATCTCCCAATCTAAGATGTAAGGGCAAATCTCCTGATTTGGAATCGGTTTTTGGATGGTAGAGATGTAAGTTAGAGGATTTGAGTTTCCAAACGGTATATTAAATGTATCATGGTGCCCAACGCTTGGGCCTCGTAGGAGCGCTATTAAGAAAAGCTGATCAGACTAACTGGCCAAAAACGTGGTATAGGATTCCTATCACGAACAGACACTGATATGCCATGGAATCAACCATCATGAGGTCTAAACTAATCACCCCAGCACATGATTACAATATTCTGGGTCGACTTCCTGTCAGTCTTGTCATCATCTACTCAGAGGAGTGATGAAAAACTAATCCAATCAGGAGATAACGCAGAGATCTTTTGTATCAGGACTATAACCTATAGATACCTTGTGATGTCTTGTGATCACCAATGAATGGAACTATCATATCCAACAGGAAAAGGACAAGTAATTTAATCACACCCTCAGGCCTGCAAACACGGGATCTATACGTGACTATCACATGACCCATTGAACATCTGCTTCCTGCCCTTTCTGAAACCCAACTGACCCGCGTTCTTTTCTTACAACAAAAGAAACAGAACCTTGCATGACGATTTTGAAAGACAATCATTTAAAATAATTTAAAAGTATAAAAGGGCAACTATATTCACAAATAATA